TTATTTTTTCTATTATTCTAATTCTTTCTTTATTTTTTTTTGTATAATATTCGAGTTAAAGTGTACATTGCTTGTGTTAAATCTTATTATATAATTACGTTAAAAATATGTGTCTAGAAATCATCAAATTGTGAAACAGGACAATACAGACCCTTTGGAGGTGGTGTAACCTCTGGAGGAAATTAAAAAAATCTTATCCATGCAATTACTGCCATTATAAGAAAATTACAAAATACATCAAAATTGATGTCTACTGTAAGTCACAAAGATTTAATTTTAATTGAAAATGATGAAGCGTAAATAATGAAAATGTAATGATTTCAAACAAAACAAAGAATAAATAATTTTATGATCATGAGTCTTGTGTTATTTGTATTCCTAATATTATGTATGCCTTTAAAATATTTAACAAGCTTTGCTAAAGGATTAACATATTTCTTAATTTAAACCTTTGAATAGAAATAGAAATAGAAATAGAAACTTTTTTATTCAATGTAGATTATAAAAATACTTATTGAAGGTCACTTTTTTTAATTTACCACTGGTTCGCAAAAAAAAAAAAACCTCTGTCCTGAGAAGAACCAGCAAGAAACCCAGCGGGACTATTTTTTTTTTAATAATAGCTTACAATCATGTTTACAATCAACAACACAAGACAAATTAGAAATAGCTTGGTAGCGATCACCCTTCCCAGGGGTTATTATCATCTATAAATTCCTTAATATTATAATAACCCTTTTTATACAAACTTAGTTTAATAACATTTTTGAACTTTGTGTATGACAAATTTTGTATATTTTCTGGGATTTTGTTGTAAAAGCGTATACATCGCCCCAAGAATGAATTACTGACTCGGTGGAGTCGAGTAACTGGTACTACCAGCTTGTGTCTGTTCCTAGTATTTACAGAATGAATATCACTTATTTTCGCAAAACTACTTTTATTTTTGTGTACGTACATTACATTTTCAAAAATGTATTGAGAGGCCAGAGTTAATATATTAATTTCTTTAAATTTTTGTCTCAGTGACTTTACTAAGTTTAATAACTTTATTTTAAAACATTATACCTAAAATATAGTATAGACCGATTCTATTATCATTAAATATGACTTGACCATTAACGCCTTGGGTATTGTGGACACAACCTATGTAATTAAATCATGTCATTGAGCTATTGAGACTCAATAACTCAATGTTTAGGGGGTGACTACAATCTGAAAGGTTGTAGAATCTTTAACCGGGACGACTATAGTCTCATGTAATACTATTGTGGCACATATGCATTTCAGTTATTTCTGGGGGAAAGGGGACTATTAAATGAATAAAATAATACTATTCAGGTTTTTTAAAAATTATAACTTGTTTGCTATTACCGGTTGAACAATTTAGATTAGAATTGTAGACTGCCCTTTTCTTGTACTGAACCCCAGTCTGGGATGGTAGGTGAAATATATTGTTACGAGCTTAGGGTTCGTGACAATAAAAATTGCCGATAAAATTACCTAAATTAACACTTTAATTTACTTTACACAAATTAAAACTTAAAACACTAATGATTAAACACACTAATTCACTTAATTCCGCTCCGAAGCTTCGCTTGTGTCGCCGAGTTCAACTCTGTCTCCGATCGCATCTTGCAGCGCCTATATATTTAAATTAGCAAAGAAATATCCAGAATGTTCAAGTAAACACGCGCAAGGTACCGAGCGTTCGAGTTTCGACTAGGCACTGTCGGTTGAGTGATTTGTGATGTCATTTTCTCAATGCTCCCCTCGCTCTCGTGCCTGACACTAGATGGCGCTAGTGTATCGTCGACTTGAGCGCGTAACACTGCCCCCTCCTAAGACATGCTCGTCCCGAGCATTATCGGCCCCATAATAACGCGCCAAGCGATTCACATGGACGATCTTAGGAGTCCCTCTTGCGCCTTTCTGTAACGACTCCGCAATGTCAAGGGCTGTTCTATCCCGTGGTGCACCAACATTGTACAATTTCGGTGCTCCTCTACTACGTGTCTGAGGTCCCCGCAAGGCCGCACAACTTGTACATGTACGACACCAATCCTCGACATCGTTACGATAATGGACCCAGTAAAACTGTTCTCGGACCTTCAGTAGAGTTCGTTTAACTCCCAGATGGACTCTTGAACGACCATTATGGCATAACTGTAGAACATTCGGCACTTTAGCTTTAGGGACAACCATTTGCAAACGACAGCTGTGTCTTCGACCATTGTCCCATTTACGGCACAGGAATCCATCCTGAATCAGCAAGCTGTCCCATTGGGCCCAATAGCTTTTCGTGGTTGAACTCATCGCTGAGACGTCCCTCCACTTAGGCTTGGTAGCACGGGCCTTCATCCATCCCAGAATCGGCTTGATGTCCGGATCTTCCTGCTGTGCATGTCGTAGGTTGTCCTTCCACCCGTTGCTGAGGTGGTCTGTCCTGAGCATCCTCACGGATACGACCTCCTTACTCTCTTGCCTACTACAATGGTTGCAATCTTCAGGACAAGGTCTTCTTGACAATGCATCTGCGTTGCCGTGAGATTTCCCGCTGCAGTGTCTGATAGTAAAGTCGTATTCCTGCTGCTGCTGGGCGGTGCTGTTAGCCGCACTTCCTTTCTGAGACCGTTCACCTTTCCTTCGTAGGGTGTGCTCAGGGCAGCTGGACCGAAGATGGCCCCTTTCCCCACAGCCATAGCACCTAGGGCTGTATCTTTTATTGTGGTCGCGAACCGTAACTGCTGTAACCTCCCTAGCGTGAGGTGAACGATGATCCTGTCGCCGCCAGGCAGTGTCGTTAGCTGCACTACCCTCTCGAGATCGATCAACTCTCCTTTCCACGGTTCGCTTAGGGTAGCTGATTCGAAGATGGCCTTTTCCCCCACAGCCATAGCACCTAGGGCTGTATCCTTTGTTGCGGTCGCGAACTGTAGCTGCCGCAACCTCCCTGACGCGATGGGAACGATGATCCTGCCGCACGGCTTCCACTTCCAGTGCATGGGCCAAGGCGTTCTTAAGCGTCTCGTGGTGCCCGAGCCTCACAGCAGCTCTGACTTTCAGGTCACGGATGCCGTCGATAAATGTCTGCACCAGGTTCCCTTCAATGAGCGCAGGTACAGATCGGTATGCTTTTCGCACTAGCTTCTCCACTTCTAGAGCCCACTGCTGCAGGTTTTCGTTGATGCGCTGCACACGATCTTTAAGCTGCGCACGAAAGACGTGTTCCAGGTGAGCGTCGCCATATCTCGCCTCCAATGCCTCAAGGAGTTGCTCATAAGTCACTTCCTCACCGAGAGCTTCCAGAACTGTTAAGGCCTGGTCGCGCAGGCCTAGTGTGAGAGCAGTCATGGCCTGACTTTTATTCCAGCCGTTCGCCTTCATAACAGCCTCGAACTGGATTTTGTAGGCTGACCAGGAAGAAGTCCCGTCGAATGGTGGCACCTTGAACCCACGTAGCGAAGGTGTAGTAGCTACTACGGGAGGTGTAGTTCCCTCCCCAAGTTTGAGTTCGTCAAGTGATTTCCTCATGTCAGCCATTACGTTGTCAACCCGATTGTTTACTTGGTCGATTCGGGTTTCAGCTTCCGACAGGCGGTTGTCATGTTGAGCAACCTTATCCTTCACCTCCCGTATCTCTTTTCCGAAGGTAGCGTGAAGGTCCTTCATGAGGAGCATCTGCTCTTCCTTATCGCGTTGGAGTTGCTCTTCTAAACGACGGGCCTGTTCCTCCTGCCGGCGGGCCTGTTCCTCCTGTCCGCCTCGCAGCTGCTCTTCCAAACGACGGACCTGTTCCTCCTGTCGGTGAGCCTGTTCCTCCTGCTGCTCTTTCAACAGACGGGCCTTTTCCTCTCGTCCGCGCTGCAGCTGCTCCTGTAGCATCGCCATCAGAGCACGTAAGTCAGGTGCTCTGATGGCGATGCTAGGAGCTTGGCAGATGTAGGAGCTAATGACGGGCCCGCAGCCTCCGTGGCTGGCGGTTGGCCCTCCGACGTCTGCGCCGTTGCACCACCAAATCTCCGCTGGTCCGTCTCATGCTGGCGTTGACTGCGGGTACGGACACCCTCCGTTTCCTCCTTAGGTAAAATCGGCATGATTTTATCCCACTTCTGACACCAATTGTTACGAGCTTGAGGCTCGTGACAATAAAAATTGCCGATAAAATTACCTAAATTAACACTTTAATTTACTTTACACAAATTAAAACTTAAAACACTAATGATTAAACACACTAATTTCACTTAATTCCGCTCCGAAGCTTCGCTTGTGTCGCCGAGTTCAACTCTGTCACCGATCGCATCTTGCAGCGCCTATATATTTAAATTAGCAAAGAAATATCCAGAATGTTCAAGTAAACACGCGCAAGGTACCGAGCGTTCGAGTTTCGACTAGGCGCTGTCGGTTGAGCGATTTGTGATGTCATTTTCTCAATGCTCCCCCTCGCTCTCGTTCCTGACACTAGATGGCGCTAGTGTATCGTCGACTTGAGCGCGTAACAATATCAACATGGGTGCAGTCAATAGCCCTAAGAATATCTGGCGGACCATGCTCTGCTAGGTATCCTCTCAACATTTATACATGTTTGATTCTCCCGCTGGATGTCTGGTCAGTCAGACGTGTTTACGAAAACTCTGCTAAAAATTATTTCTTGAACTTTTAATAAAATAATCTTTCATAAATACTGTGAAGTACTAGGGCCGCATTGACCGAGAAGAGCTTACGTCTCGGACGGGACAAGGACATCCATATAGTGAGTGTGACATACAAAACTATCTAAGTGCCGTCCTTGTATTTGACCCATCCCACTACTCAGCTTACCTCCGCACTGCTTAGCGTCGATTGGCTCACCCCGCCCTCTGCGCAGGACCTGGATTCTTACGGGGATCGTCACGCCCTTCGCAAGTGATTCACGTACGTACCGCTGTAAACTGCCGTCGGAACATTTAGGCCTAGAACACATTATTTTAGGCCTACAATATCTTATATTAAACGGCAAAATGTTAAGATCGCCCGCAGATAAACAAAACAATACTTATGGATCGGCTCCAACCCTACTCCAAAATAAAGACGGCTGCAATTCACCCGATAATAGCATATTACGATCTACAAAAAGACGCCGTTGCGAATGCGATTGTGCATCTACACCAGATTCTAAGTTAGACGTTTTTATAAATTCACTAACTTCCTGGAAACATGAGACGGATATCAAATTGTCGGGTATTATGGAGTCAATAAACGAAATAAAACAACTCAGCTCGGACCTACTGGCGTCTAACTCGGAAATCGAGAAGTCCATCGAGTTTTTATCCTGTAAATATGATGAGATTTGCGGAGAAATTAAAAATGTACACTCGCAAAACATGATTTATGGTGACCGCCTATCGAAATTAGAGAACACTACAGAAGAGATCGAACGCTTCTCCCGCTCCAGTTCAATTGAAATCCGCAACCTGCCTATCAAGCTGCCATTATCTCAAGACGATCAAGTAGTAATTGCCTGTCGCATCTTCTCGGAGTTGTCTACCAAAGTCCAGACTTCTGACATTTATGACATCCGTTGTCTCCCCTCCAAGCAAGATACTAAGACCGTACTTGTAACCCTTAACTCTGTCATCTTAAAAAACCAAATCTTGAAGGCCTTCAAGGAATACAATAAGAAGAACTCGGGCGGTAAGTTGAACGCAAAGGTTTTAGCTCCTGAATATCCTGGCCAACTGATATATGTCTCTGAAAATCTGACAGCCCGTACCCGCAGGCTCTTTTATCTGGCCCGCGAGTTTGCGAAAGCCGAAAACTTCAAACATTGTTGGACAGCAAATTGCAGGGTTCTTCTCCGCAAAGAAGACAATGGCAAACTCATTGTCCTTACCAGTGAATCTCAACTATCTAACCTAAAGTCAAAAAACTGATTGATAACATTTTTAGTCATATTATTGTAGTTCTTAGTCGATATTTGTTTTGTATACATACCTCACAATCAAAGTATATACTTAATTTCTTCCATACACATCCAAATCAAACTTCTCACACTAACATAAATACATTTTGCGTAAAAATGTTTCTTCACACAAACATAACACAAAAATACCTATCAATATTTATTCATATTAAATATTATACTACTGTTAACTCTGAACTCCATCGATTAATTCGCCATAATTACCTTGTTATAATATTCCTTCCCGTTTTGTTATATAGGCTTAAACTTCATTTTTTACATAGCAACCCAACATCTGTTTTTGTTTGTCCCATCATTTTGGTTGACACCTCCCCCCCTCCAAAATATTGCCACACAGGAGTTCCAACCCCTCTCCCCAATACCCTGCAATTGGAGGCTACATGCCATTGTGGCCCCCATTTTTGCAATCCAGTACTATTTACCCCTAATACATCACATTCGATATCGAGCTAATTAATAATATAGATAATGTGACTATTTGCAGTGCATCCTCTTGTGATCCACATGAAGTTCAAAATGCTCTCGCTGCCAATAACCTGGGTACTAAGCCATTAAGAATCCTCACCCAAAATATTTGCAGTATAAAGGCCAACATACACAATTTCTTAACCCTGTTACATAATATCAACACTGACCTGGACTTTTTGATATTGACAGAATGTTGGCTCGGCATCGAACCAGCTATTCCCTATATCCCTAGTTTCGTTTCCCACTCTTCATCTAACCCAGTGAACCAGAACGATGGCGTCGTAGTCTACTACAACAATTCAATTGCTAATGTCTCTATTTCTGACCCGAAAATAGTTGACGCCAGCTCGCTCCTCATCCAAATACAGCAAGATACTGTAATTTTAGCTATATATCGACCATGTGCATTTCGAAATCCCCTCAACTTTATAAATTCTCTTTGTCAGACTTTAGCTTCTTTAAATAAATTTAAAAATATCATTATTGCAGGAGATATCAATATTAATATTATATCAAACTCAACCCCTGATCAAAACACTGAAACATATTTGAATATGCTCGCCTACAATGGTCTTTTGCCAGCCCATACTATTCCCACTCGTAAACTGGCCTGTCTCGATCATGTCTTTCTAAAAACTACCTTTCAGGCCCAATGTCTTGTGATCCAATCCTCAGTTACGGACCACGACGCTATCTTACTTGTCCTCTATATGAAGAATATATCACATTCATCTTCCAAAGTCTCAAAAAAGATTGACATCCCCAACCTTATGGACACCTTAAAAAAAGTAAGCTTCTCCGATGTACTTCAGCTCACTGATCCAAACCAAGCAACTAACCTATTTATTAGTAAACTTCAGGCTGCGATAGATCAACACTCCAAGCCCAAGCTCTTGCCCAGCCGACGAAGGATTCTCAAACCCTGGATGACTCCTGGGTTACTAAGATGTATTCGAAATAGAGACGGCATGCATAAGAAACTTAAAAAAGACCCCCAAAATGACATACTTCGAAAAACTTACTGTCGCTACCGTAATTTCTGCAATTCCCTTCTTAGGAAGATTAGGATAGCATATGATAGAGAGCGGATAAATAAGGCTGGAAATAATAATAAAAAATTATGGAACGCTATCAGAGATGTTACAAACATGAACAAACAGCACTCCAACTGCAACGACCTCCTCACTTTTATGTCTACCACCTCCCAATCACTTGATAGTACAAATGCTTTTTTTGCAAATATTGGTAAATCTCTCGCTGAGGATATACTTATTGCCTCTACTCCCTCCCCCCTAAAATTCGCAATACCTCGCTCAAATCAGACCTTCGTTCTCCTTAATACCACTCCATCCGAAGTTGACTCCCTCATCTCATCACTCAAGGAAAACTGTGCGGTTGGGTGGGATAATATTCCCTCATCTATCCTTAAATGCGGAAAGGATTTTCTCGTTCCTGCTATATGCCATTTATGCAACCTGAGTCTTTCTTCAGGTTGCTTCCCTGATGCCCTCAAGAAAGCCCTAGTTCACCCCATTCACAAGAGTGGAGATCGAAGCCAGCCCAATAATTACCGCCCCATTTCGGTCTTACCCGCCTTGTCTAAGATCCTGGAGAGGTTGATCAACAACCAGTTAATCCAATTCCTAGAGAAAATGAACTTACTGTCCCCTGAGCAATTTGGTTTTAGATCTGGCAGATCTACAGCAGATGCGGTTCACTCTCTCACAGATCATGTGATTAGAAACTTAGACAAGGGTAATAAATGTTTATCGGTCTTCCTGGACTTGGCCAAGGCCTTCGACACGGTTTCGATCCCCATCCTCTTGTCTAAACTGGAGGCAATTGGTGTCAGAGGTGCCCAACTATCCCTCTTCCAGAGTTATTTTTCAAACCGAAACCAGGCTGTCACTATCAATGGAAAAGTGAGTTCCGAACTATCCATGAGTTACGGTGTTCCCCAGGGAAGTATTCTTGGCCCGACGCTCTTCTTGGTCTATATCAATGACCTCTGCTCTCTCAAAATTCCTAGTTGTAAGATTGTCTCCTTTGCAGACGATACCGCCCTAATTTTCTCGGCCTGCTCCTGGAAAGATACCTTCCAACTTGCCCAATCTGGTTTGAACTTAGTCTCTCTCTGGCTCCGTACTAATCTACTCACTCTCAATTCCAAAAAAACCCAGTATATCACCTTCTCCCTCCGCAGTATTCCACCCAAAGCATTAGAAAACTATCGATTAATTGATCATTCCCATTCTGACCACCCCCTCTCCCCATGTAACTGTGAACCTCTTACCTCGACCGATTCCACAAAATATTTAGGTACTATTATAGACAATAAACTGACCTTCCAGCCACACATCAACCTCACCGCTTGTAGACTCCGTAAACTTATGTTCGTCTTTAAAAATCTTCGCCAAGTCGCAGATCCTTGTCTAGTTAGATCAGTCTATTTAGCACTTTGTCAGTCACTTATAGTCTACTGTTTAACAACCTGGGGTGGTGCGAGTAAGTCAATACTAATTAAGCTGGAAAGAGCCCAAAGAGCGGTCCTCAAAGTCTGCACGTTCAAACCCCTGCTATCACCAACCTTCGATCTTTATCAGTATTGTGAAGTTCTTTCAGTTCGCCAACTCTTTATTTTATTAACTGTCCTCAAACAACATAGTAGTTGCAGCTATGATCCCTCTTTAATGTTTTCCCAGCGAAATCACCTTGTAGTACGTTCAACCCCGTTTAAAACTCTAACCTCACAACGCTTTTTCTGTTTCTTGGGCCCCTTCCTCTATAATAGACTACATCGTGTGCTCAACATCTTTCCTCTTACAAAACTGTCCTGCAAATCCAAAGTCTCTAGTTATTTGCAGACTATGAACTATGAGGAGACTGAGTCTCTCCTCCATCCTATCAGGTAGGTAATAATATACTAACGCCCACACCCATTCTGACACACGCACTCACACACACACACACACACACACACACACACACACACACACACGCACACACACACACACACACACACACACACACACATAAACACACACACACACACACACACACACACACACACACCATTTCTCTCTCTTTTCTCTCTTTTTTGATTACTTTGCAATCACCAACTGTACCTTAATGATCAACATCCTGTGAGGAGAGTGCTGGTGCTCTGAAACACAGGCTCTTAGCCTAGCTCGGACGCCAGTCTCTCACAATCTAAATATGTTTTTTCCCTGGTAAAAACCTCTGTTCATTACTATACTAATATCTTAGATTGTGGAGAAAATAAAGAATTTTTATTATTATTATTATTATTATTATTTTACATTTATCCTTGCTTGTTATATACCCGGAAATGGTATTCACTTCAGTATTAGTCAAAAATAAAATGAATAAAGTAGATTCACTGAAACTTGTATTTACCTACACAAGAGTCTAAAGCATATTGTTCCCCACATTCTAATGATAGCCCCAATAACTTAGGTCAAGTATTTGCTGATTATTTGTTGTTTAAACAACAGCCATTCCATGGTCTTGACTCATACCTCTGGTAACTACTATCTGCCAAGAGACTGAGAGATGTAAACACATGTATTGATTGTAAATATACGATGTTTTTGCACAAGAGGGTTGTAATAGATGCTTACTTTAATATGCACTGGTAGTCCATCCACAGCATTAATAGGCTTTAAAGCCTCATAGACTTCTTTACACAAATACAAAACACAATCTTTGAGCATTCGAAACCGGCGTAGAAATTCGTTGTCGGGGAATTCCAATAGATTAAGTATTCTGATCACGTATCGATCGCCGATGTAATTTTCTTTCTTGTTTTACAATTTATGATACGAAAATGTAGTTGCAATAGGCTCGAGACATCTTTTTTGTATTAAAATGGTTTGAAGATAAACTTAAATCCACGTCCACGAAAGAGGATAAAATTGTCCCTTTTAAATGTCAAAAGGGGATAATTTTTTCTCTTTCTTCGGCCCCATGCTACGGAAGAGGAGATATATGTCTACTCGTTAGGTCAAACGGGGATATACTATAGGGATAAGATAATTTTATCCCTTGTCAGTGGATATAATCGGAGGATATAATTTTTGTCTCCTGCCCATGCTCGTAGGGTGGATAAAACTGAGCAAGTGATAAAAATTTTATCCCTTCCCCGGGGATATATTCTGTCCTGCCCATGCTAGCCCGGAAGAAGACACAAGTTTGCGCGTTAACCGCTAAAAAGAACCCCTTTGTCGTATCTCCTCAGTTTCAAGGCACTCCCATTGTTGCGGCAGCCAGTATCGGAATCCTCGGCGTCGACATATCGAGTGACGTGCAGTTTCGTGGTCACCTGAAAGAGGAGGCCAAATTGGCCTCTAAAAAGCTTGGCGTGCTCAGCAGAGCGGGAGAGTATTTCATGCCGGCACACCGCCTGCAACTTTATAAGGCGCAGGTTCGGCCGCACATGGAATACTGTTCCCATCTCGCCTG